TGTTTCTGTGCTTGTGGTTGTGCGTTGTGGTTGTGTGCTGTGGATGTGTCTTTGTGGTTGTGTGTTGTGGCTGCGTGTTGCGGATGTGTCCTTGTGGCTGTGTGCTTGCGATTGGGTGTTTGTAGTTGTGTTTGTGGTTCTGTGTTTGTGGTTGTGTGCTGTGGTTGTGTGTTGTGGTTGTGTCCTGTGGATGTGAGTCCGGCGGGGAACACTGCCGTCGGGAGCTGGCGGTTGAGGTCCGGCGGGGAACACTGCCATGCGACACTTGCAGTTGAGGAGGCGAGGAGGAGAAGGAGGAGGAGAGGACGAGAGGCAGCTGACATAAAAATCTAACAACCCTCACCTGACAGGTGGGGAAAAACATGCTGTACTTCTGGCGGATTGGAGCTAGAAAAATCAGCATGGATCAACAGATTTGAATAGTCTTCACAACAGCTTCCACCTGTCCAGCAATGTCAAACATTGCATCTTGCTCCTGGGGTTCCTCCTTCTCGACGCAAGCAACAGTTACATCAATCTCCACCTTTCGCACAGAGGTGTTAAAACCCTGCTGGTTGGAGCCGATCGCCAACACCTTTAGGCATTTCCGTAGTTGTGCAGCTAAAATGATGCTACAAGACATTGAATCGAAACCAGGAGTGACGCATTGATATCTCTGCAATAATCAAGTTAACAGTGGCTTAGCTGCCTATGCTCCAACGACACGCCAATACAATTGAAGCATTTCGTGTAACAATATTTCCCGGTTGTGGCGACTTTGTAATGCATCAAAGACTCTGGGGGCTGCAAAGGCTCCGCACTCCTTGCTCAACTAGGGGGTCATCAGCAAAGCTCAGCAATTGAACTAAAGCAGCTGCTCGCAGATTGTGTTTGCTTGGTGCAACAGCAATTCATTCATTTCCTGGTCAATACTAATATGACCCCGCGCGCAGCCAGCACCTCACTTGCATCAAGCTGAACTGAACACTCCCCTTGAGCCACCTATCCATCTTTCTTGGATGGAACATCTCCGGACAATCTGCAGTCCCGCTCCTCGACTTGTTAGGCAGCTCCTAGGTGACAGCACATGGCACTCGGCTACGGTACTCGGAAAAAGTAGGATACAGACTGAATGTTTTTGATTGGATGGCAGCACTGCTCAACTCAAAAGCGTTAGTCTTGTTTCAGGGTTGGTTTACAAGGGAAACTATTGGTCCCATGGCCTGGAGCTAAACAGGTGAGGTACCACGTTCTCATGGCCAACGATTGGCCCAACATCTCTTATGGTGGGGTTCTGCCGACATGTTAGAATCACCATGCTGCCTCTGATTGCCTCTGTCTGTGTTGGTTATTCAAGTATATAATCGTTGTGTGCCTCCCCCACCGGATGCAAATGACCATGCGTTTGAGTGTGAGGCCTACCTACGGCGTGAGGAAGCTCTGCACTTGCTGCATTTGTGGTTGTGCTATGTTGTGCTCAAGTTGATGCTCATGGTGGTGGTGGTCTCCGCTGTCCCCTGTACCTGCTCTTCGCTCTGCTTAGCATCGAGTTCTTTTGCTGCCTGCAGGGTTCCCGTCAGAACGGTGCAAAGTAACAGTCGTGAGTCGTATCGAAGGCCTTCGAAACTCCCCTCTGCTGAAAATCATCAAACCAAAACTGATCCATCATTAGTCGCATCAAACATGTCAGCGTGGATCTCGGAAGCATGGTTAGTGCCCTACCAAAGACCTAACGGATCTCTGGGCAAGTGTCCCGCTACCAAAACTTTATGGTCGTACGAAAATGAAGCAAAAAATGCGCAAGGGCTTGTTTGGTTGGCTTGTTGGTTTACTAGATTTCACCGAATCAATCCCTCTTCGATGGTATGAGACAACCCACCATGACCCAACGATAGGGTCAAAGTAAAAACTAAGAGAGCTACAGTAATACGAAACCCAACACACTACAGAAATGTATTCATTTCAGCCCGGATACTTACTTTGCACGCGAAGGCCAGAGAAAGACTTCCCGCATACAAACATAATTACAGGCAATGTCTTCAACCCGTAATAAGTTGAACCAAATATGTTGCACGCAATCGCCAAAAAAAAGACTTAGGAAGTAACACATATATGGGGATTCGCACGCTGAAACATCAACCCGTAGTGCTCCCGTCCAAATGCACGCTATTCCCATATTCAAGGGCCATTGATACGTGTGGCATGAAACATGTTGAATTACTCCTGGCAGTGCTTGGGTAGGTCGACAGTCAGGCTGTGCTGTGTGCCTGGGCCATGGCTTGCTCTGCTTCCTGCACTGCCCGATCTTTAGCTGCATCTTCTGAAGCCTGTGACTGCTGACAAAGAAGAAAACACTGGTTCAAAGCTTGTGACCGTGCCATCAAGCATAGATTCAAGTATTCATGGCACACACCATGCAAGGCATGCCCATTACCGTTTCTACGTCAAGCCTCAGCCCACTAGATATATATATATCAATAGTATATATCAATAGTACCACAAGCGTCCGGTGTGTTCGACAGACCGTGGAATGTGCTGTAGTGTAATGTAAGTGTTGTGGGCTTTGTGGAACAGAACCGATATAGAAGAGCTAAGAGAACCCAAACTGGACCGAAAGCGGGCGTAAGTTCCCGAACATCTCAGGGCCGTTGAAAAACGACGACCAAAAAGGAACCACATTATGGAGGTGTTGTGGGGTGGCGTCAAGATTTCAGGCAGCTTCGGCAAGTCTTCTGAACTCACTGGCGCACACATGAAGTTCATCGCAACCTCTCCACATGTCCATTGGGCCTGACCTCGCATCAAACCACAACCTTTGTGCAGCCTCGTACAACTCCACCACCAACTGCCAAAAGCTTTCGCTCAGGTGACTGCCAGTTCACGAAGTGTTGAACCTAACGTCTATCTTTACGGCCTAACTCAGGGTCGAGGCTTTCAGGCGCCGAGCTTCATCCCTAGCTTTTCCCAAGGCGTCCAGCACTCATCCGCACTGCGATTTTGTTTGACACACCTCATCTGAGTGGGTAAGGCGCTCGGCGCTCCACAAAGCAGTTGATGCGTCCTCAAAAGCCTTTGCAGCATCGGACCTCTCGATGCTGTGACAGACTCAATGACAGAAATGGCTTTGGAATCTTGGGAAAAACAATTCACACACGCTACTGACGCCTCTCCCCTCCTGACAAACTTTTCTTCGCGCGCAAGCTCCTCTGTGGGTTGTGCTTTGGAGTTGGCTCTGGGTCCCATCACTTCCATGTGGCTCGAAATAAGCCTTGTCCAGCCTTGCATGGGTCGGTTCCACCTCGGCCTCGTTCATCAGATCCACTGATCCAGTTGTGTCACCAGCGCATTCGGCAGCACCGGTTCAACAAAAAAAACAACATACATGCTCTCAAAGAGTAGATGACTTGATATAAAGCAGAGGGATGAGCTGATCACATAGATTGGCCATCAACTTGGCTCACTGACAACCAACGCCTCACGTTTCACCCCCGGAGCTCGCTTGCGACCAGACCAACACTTTTGTGACCCTGTGAGAGCTTTGTCGGCAGAAGGGGGAGCAGATGGCTATGTGCGCACTGTTTGGATCACTGCTGGTTGTGACAACAGTCTACAGTCTGCAATACTGTGAACACTGTGAACTCTGAGTATAGTATCCTTCCAGCGTCCCTTGACACCCTGACCCTTGCTGATATGTCCCTCCCACCTGAGCCGCTGCCTGAACTGCTTCTGCTGCTGCCTTCGCACGTTCCCGCGCATGGGATTCCGCTGCAGTCTCAGCCTGTCAAACACTGCTCTGTTTAGTAACAAAGGGCATCGCTACTAGTAATGCATCGCTACTAGTAACATGTTTCCTGCTGGGCACTGGTGCTGCATTTGCAGCCTTAATTAAGTTGCAACTGATCGAAGAAAGAAACCTATGGTGAATAGCTACCGTCATCTACCCACGAACAAGGCAAGGAATTCAAGAGGGCATAAATCATGACCTAGCAGCTTTGTGCACAGCGCACTGGCTCTCCCCAGCGTTGCATTCTGTAATAATACTTGTGATAGAGACGTTTTCGACGGAAGTCTTGCACTCGCAGTCACTCTGAGCCACAGAAGCATAACCCCGGTCTGCCGCATTAACTGACATCAACCTAAGGGTGCATTGCAGACAGGTCTATTCGGGGACAGCCTGGGCAGCCGCCTGAGCTGCTTGTGCTGCTGCTTGTGCGCGCTCCCGTGCCGAAGCTTCTGCTGCTTTCTCCTTCCAAAACAGTTGTATCCGAGTGTTTTGGTACTGCTCATTGTGATACAGTACATCTTTTCTTCCTCTTTGAGTTTCTTTCCAACTCATCCGACGAAAAGAATGCAGAAAAATTGCAGTGAATACCCATCACGCCAGGTCAGCTCAACACCTGCGCTTCTACTTCATCTTCTACTTGGGCCTGTGCATGTGGAGCTGAATCAATCTGTTCAACTAGAAGCGGTAGTTGTCAAGGCAAAAGCGAGAAAAACACACACATCCTTGTGATGATGTATATAATATACATTTAAGGTACATATATATACTGTATATGTATATAATGTATATGGTGTCTACATATTATGTATATAATTACATGCATACATAATACATGCATGCTATGCATTGTCAGCAATGTAATCTGCCAATTCTCTTCCAGACTTCATGACTTCCTGATTCTCTAGAATACGAAGCGTTGGAATGTGTCAACGTTTGTAAACGGTTGCAAGGCAAATTTGCAACAAAAGCGTAGCCTCAGAGTTTGAGTTTCGCCGCGCTAGCTCTGCAGGACTTTCAGTACAGCGCACCTAACCGGACTCAACCACTCTGAAAAAAAGAGAGGTGTAATTCTGCGTAATAGGATAAAACTTGTATAACAGTACAACGGAATCACAAGGCGGCTTAGAAGCAATTGCGTTGTGAACATAACACAGGAGTTGCAGGACACTGCAGGACTGTTGGAACGAAGAGATGTCTTGCTTAATGATTTGATATGATGCGAGATTGTGTAACTCCCTTTTGTCTGTCTGGTTAAGGTTGAAGCTCAATAAGCTGAGCTGCTCGGAGGAAACCTGGAACATATTGATCCAAGTGACGCCAAAAGGCTGGAGATCTGATAAGTACAGCCAAAGACATTCCCAGAACACCCAGCCACCAGCGCAGTGACTGGCTGGTAAGCGCCTTGGCGAGTGCTTCTACCCAGAAAATGGCAAAGAGCAGCTGCCATGCTATTTCACCAATGGAGGCTTTGGCCAAATGCCGCATAAAGCGCTGTCGTAAACCTTCGCTGCAGTCTGGTAAAGACCTGATTGGATCCAGGCCATCTACCCAGGTGAGACTGTCCTCATAAGCAATTTGAGGGTAAAGGCCACGAAAGGACGACAATCGCAAAGGGGCGATCCGCGAAGTGTCCATGTCCATCAAGAAAGCACTCGATGCACCTAAAGCCTTTTCCACCTGTGAGAACTTTGGCGCATAGCAAGAAGCAACAGAGGGCTGTAGGGAAGGGTGCCTCAACAGCCGCAGAGATGGCACTACAAAATTGTCTTCATCCTCTGCGACCTCTCCTCCACCTGCACGGATTTCTGCAACCTCCCCCTGGTACTGCTTTCTTGACGCTTCAAGATCTGCTGCAGCACGTGCCATGGCTGTATCCGGTGCATCCACAAGCACTAAGCAATAGACGCGCCGAATGGCCAAAGATCGACACATAAGCTCAGCATTCTGGACGCTCACCGGCACGGCAACCTTCTCTGTGAAGCGTAAAAGTTCCAAAACGATTTCCTCTTCACTCGTCGGCCAATCAAAGAGGGCAAAAGCCTTTGGTACTGTAGCCCCTGCCGCTGGAAAGAAAAGCACAGCACCTCTATGGCTAGACTCGTTCTTTGGAGGCAAAGATCCCTTGATTTCTGGAAGCCCAGCTAGCTGGTGAAGAAGCGCAGTCTCGGCAGAGCGCATTTCAAAAATGTCAGACCACCTGGCAGCGAGCTTGCGGCAAATGAGGTGCGATTTGTAACGCTCTTCCTCGCTCTTTCCAGGTATTGCAAAAAGCACCTTGTGGTGGCGGGAAGTTCTGCCAAGCCATCCAGTCAGAGCTGCCTTGTCTGAATGGAGTGGCAAGCCAATATTCGGGAACGAAGTTAGCACAAACTTCATCAAAGCCTGTGGAGTCTCGTGCATCTGGGTGATGGGGAAAATCTCCACACTGCCCAAATGTTTTCCGAACTTCAGCACTGTTGGTAGTACACGCACCTTCAAAGGAAGCCATTTGGCTTGGTCGTCCGTAATATCGATACGACCAAATCGTACAAGGTGCCCATACTTCTGGATCTGATTCTCCCAAAAAGGGTGGAAGGAAGCGCAGTGGGAATTGTCTGGTCGAAACACCTGAACAATCCACACATCATTGGAGAAAGTCACCAGTTCATGAAAATTGTCTTTGTTTAAAGGTACGCTTTTCGGAGATTTGAGTTCAGAAGCCGCTGCCCCTCCGACTTCATCATAAGCTGCACGCTTTGGCTCATCTGACAGCGTCTCATAGGCGACTGCAATCTTAGAAAAAGTCTCCTGGCAAGAGCTGCAGTTGGGGTTCCTGCGGATCAGGGCACGAAGATACTCTTGGTATAAAAATTGCCAAGTTCTTGACTTTTCAACACGTGTCTCAATGGTCTCAATTCGTTAACATTGACTTTCTCCCAGAACGTTACTAGATGATACTAGATGCTTGACAACGGTTTCCCACGACCCGAAGTTATCACCTATTGTCTATTGCTCATAGTTTGCTTGAGGGGCTGTTTAATGCAATTGCTGATACTGTACTGCCTGAATGGCAGACTGACGAGTTCACTGATGATGGATGAACTCTTCTCTTCATTTGCAGATGTGTCATCAACAAATGAATGGATAGCTCCATGTGTGTATGTTTTTTAATGCACGTGTGTTCTGTATACTCACAAATACGCAGCAAACCCATGTGCTTTGCTGTGCACCCACGCAGCCTTGTCTACACCTGACTATGACGCGTTCCAAGCCCAAATGCAAGGCCAGCCAAGCGTACAGGCTGCGAGACTGCAGGAAACCTCAAGCCTGCTTCTCCGTCGTATCTGTGTGTTTGTGGCGTATATTGCACAAAATACACGCACAAGTCCGGCCACCTATAGCTTTGCTTAGTAAGGTGGTGCTTGCTTGCCGCTGCCTGGCGTCTAAAGGGTGGTATCACAGGGCTTGTGTTGAAACTCCCAGTATTGACCCCCAATTGCTCTGCTTTGTGACTATGAATGGCACTCATGATTTGTATGGAAATGTTTCAGACAAGATCGTTGTCATGTGATACAGACTGTGACTGAGGTATGAAAATGACCAGCTTGTACAGTATTTATGGTGATTGTAAGGTTTCCAGTTTCCAGTCGAACATCTTTCAACCAAACATGCCTGTCTGGGTGCCATCGTTTTGCCAGTGTCTTGTAGGCACGCTTGATGTCACCTGTCTCGGCATCACGAGTCACTCCAAGAACACCGTAATAGTCCTCCACTGTTTCCACCTGGCGATCGGTCTGTTTGTCCAGATTCTCGCCAGCAATTATGATGGCACAAGTAGCCACAAAAATGGCCATTAGGCCTAAAGGTACCTTGTGTGCCTGAACATACTGAGCGGCGGCCACCTTAAATGGCAGCTCGGGCTCGTCATTTTTTTTCTTGGATTTTGTATCCTGAGCACGACAGATCTCAAAGGCGCGCTTGGAAAGCCACTGCAAGGCCTGGAGCACAATGAACGAATCGGTCCAATCAGTCCAGCCAGCGTTGGAATTTTGTAAAAGTGCATCATCATCTCGGTCCGCTTTGGCGAGCTTTGCACCTTTCCGCTGTACTGGAGGCATCCTGTACAGCCGGGGCTCTGAGCACTAAACAGCTCTTGTGTTCATCAATATGTGTGCCTTGCCTCAGATTCGCGCTCAAGGTCAAATATGAACAAAAGTTATATATATATGCTACCACCCCCCCCAAATGTCTACCTTTTTGGCTTGTTTGCATGTTTTTACTTGCTGATTGCCTTGTAGTTGGGAGCAGACATATGAAAAGATTTTTGCAAAATGAATGACACATGGACATCAATGAAGCCAGATGTTTTGAAATGATGATACCTTTTTGCTTTGCTTCCGTGTTTTTATTTGATATTGCCTTGTAGTTGGGAGCAGATATATTAAAAGATCTTGGCAGAATGAATGACACATGGAGACCAATGAAGCCAGACGTTTTGAAAGGATAGCAATGAGGAAATAGGGCAAGCTGAGTCCTTGGAAGGGTGTCTATGTTTGAATGGGGCAAGGAGCAGCCGATGCAAAGCAACAATCGTTTTCATTTTCCACTGGCTAGCTCTTGCTAAGGCTTCGCCATGATGTCTGACATATAGTCGTGCAGCAGGTCCCCAGTGCATGACCATAGGTCATTGCCCCGGTGCCAGTACTCATACTGGGTTGCCCGAATTTTGCGCCGAAGCCTTGCCATGCCAGCCCGGCAGCCCGGTCCTTCAGACAGGCGTTCCTTCAGGAACTTCCAGCACCAGTCAATGTGCTGAGTGCCAGCCTTCACTTTCAGATGTTTACCATCAGGAAGCTTGTGGCTGACAACCTTAACGAAGGAAGGCTTCGTCCACACCCATTTGCCCAGCATCGTGAATCACTCCAGGAAGCTTGAGCTTGTACGCCTTGGCGGAATCCGTGTGGAAGATGATTTTCCTGTTGGCAAGATGCTTCTGGGCAAGAGGCTTCCAATCTTTCTTAGTGATAGGTCCTGGGCCAGGAGCACGGGGTATGGTGAGAGGAGGTTGGAGACGAGCAAGAACCAAAGTCTCAGGCCTGCCACGCTGAACGAGGCCACACCATTGCTCCCATAGAAGGCAATGATCTCCTTTGATCTGATGGCTCAGTTCGGCATCATTGGTGAGGTCTCTCTTATCAAACGTGGCTTCATCCCCCTCAACATCAGCCCACATCGAATTCTTGCCAAACACAATGCTCTTCTCGCGCTTCTCCACATACTTTTTGCGGACGCACTCCAAACGTCTTTGCATCCCTTCTACTGCCTTGTGGTTGACGCCCAGGATGAGGTGAATGGAACTCTGGGCCACTCGAAGGAGAAGGAGCAAAAGTATGCCTGCTTGGATTTGAAGTCATAGAGTCTCTGGCCCGCGGCAAGCTTGAAAAACAGGATGCAAGTAATGGGGATGGATCCTTTGCTGGCAAGCCTTCCTTGAGCACCTGTACTTGGCCGCAGTGTCTCCACAGTGGACTGCCCTCATTGCACTTCGGGCAAAGCTTGCCTCTGCCTTTCCAATTCGGAAGTATTTTGTCCTTGATCAGCAATTTGACAACCTGAAAGCCCGAGCATCTCAAAATTTCGACCAAAATGCGCTTCCAACGCGTCTGGTCTTTGCGGAGACCACTTCCTGGAACAGCGCGCTTGCCACGGACATACTTCACACTGTTCCACTCCTGAGGCTTCGTAGACGCAGGCCTCTTCGCAACCATCCGGCCCTTGCCCTTCTGCGGGCCTGGAAAGTGGCTAAAGAAATGGGCGCTTCAATGCTATCCTCCTCCTTGGCGATGCATGTGGGTGTAGTCAAAACCTGCAAAGTCCAATCCCTACTTCCATACTTCCTCAAAGCAGCGTCCAAAAGAGCTTCAGTCGCCATTGAGTGAAAGAAGAGACTACTACTTGAAGACCGTGACAGTTTGAGCAAAGGCCTGACATGTACAGGTGTGGACGAAGACAAGACATGGAAACACATTCAGCTTGCAGATGGAGATGCCATTCTACAGGTCTTCGTTTGTCGATGCAGGTATGTGTGCACGCCACCTTACTTTGATACAGGTATGGCTGAATGGTACAGAGTTGCAAAGTGAATGTCAGACGTGCAAGGACATCAAAGTTAAAAAACCCACACACATACCGATGATTCGCTCCAAGGACATCTTTTTCTCGGAAGCGGACACGCATGCATTGCTGCTTTTCAGACGACTGTCTCTACTCTAATCAGAATTCATCATTTCCTCGCCGTCGTCCGACTCTCCCAACAGCCGGCGCAATTGCTGGTTCTCCGCTTCAAGCACCCTGACCTTCTCGTTGGCCTGGTCCAAGTCTTCCTGTGTGTGAGACAAAGCGCAGAAGATGCCCTCAAAGTCCGCGGTTCTCGCTTTCAGCTTCTTTTCTGTCATCTCAAGCTGCTCAATGACCTGGATAAAACGAGGGCGCTCTTCCACTTTCCTCTGCTTTGTCTCCGAAGATGATGACGAGGAGTCTGAGGACGAAGGTGACGATGACTTACCTTTCTTGGGCTTCTTTTCTTTGCGGTCATCTTTTTTGTCTTCGATGGCGAGCATTGATGGTTCCTTGGCACCTTGGAAGGGCTTGGCCAGCAACGTCTCAAGGCGGGCAGTCGCATCGTGGTTCCACTGTCCACTTTGGCCGGGAACAAGCAGCATCTGGCGCTGAATGGTATTCATGGCATTCGTAAGGAACTTCGAAGTCAATGGCATACGAGACAAATGCGCTGTAAGGTCACCAGCTTTCGCCTGCAGGGTTGTGAGTACAATTTTTCGACGTGATGAATACTTTGACTGACTTTTGTTTGACCATTTCTTATGATTATGGTAATTTTGGCTTTTCAGTCACACAGAGCCTTCGCAATGATGTCACCTGAGGATGGGCGTGGTGCAAGGTTGACGGTGACCTCTGGCTCCAGGACAACCATGGCACGCTGACCATTGAATTGCACCTTCCGTCAAGAAGATGCCATCAAAAAATACTACGCAGTGAACACCTAGTAGTCTTGATGAATCACAAGCTGCCACGACAAAATTTTTGCGATTGCACTGACGTGAGCTCCTCCAATAGGCAATTACACCACCGTAGACCCCAAACAGGTGGGACAACAACGAAGCATTCCCAAGTCCACATTTTGAGACATCAACAAGAAGGGAGACAAGAAGGGAGACAAAAGGAAACAGAAGGGAGACAACACGGACACAATGGCCAACAAGAAGGGAGACAAGAAGGGAAACAAAAGGAAACAGAAGGGAGACAAGACGCACACAATGGCGACAAGGCGGACACAGTGACCAACAAGAAGGGAGACAAGAAGGGAGACAAAGGTAACAGAAGGGGGACAAGGCGGACACAGTGACCAACAAGAAGGGAGACAACACCGGAGACAAAGGGAGACAGAAGGGAGAAGGCGGACACAGTGACCAACAAGAAGGGAGACAAAGGGAGACAAGCCGGACGGAAGGCGGAGACGCTGTCCCGCAGCAAGGCGGACACTCTTAGAAAGCCTTGAGGACCCCTAACAGTACATAACCTGTTTGGGGAAGTACAGAAACCACGTGGGACACAAATGAATAGAAATGCTGGAGAGGGGAAAAGGGCGGAGGCCAGCAGCGCAGGCACCGAACCTGGAAAAGAAAAGTAAACAGATCATTTGGGAGGCAAATGAATAGAAACGCTGCATGGCCAGCGGATTAGGGTGGACACTAGCAGGGCACACCGAACTTGGGAGACAAAAGTAAAGAAACCACTTTTGGTACAAATGAATTGAAACGCTGCATGGCCAGCAGAAAAGGGCGGACACCAGCAGTGACAGAAAGGGCGGACACGTTTTAAGAAAGAATTGAGAACTCCTAAAAGTATACTGATTGGGGAATGAATAGAAATGTTGCGTCGCCAGCGGAAAAGGGCAGACACAAGCAGTGACAGACCTGGGAGACAAATGAATAGAAATGCTACATGGCCAACGGAAAAGGGCGGACACCAGCAGCGACAGACCTGGGAGACAAATGAATTCAAATGCTACATGGCCAGCGGAAAAGGGCGGACACCACCAGTGACAAACCTGGAAGACAAATGAATAGAAATGTTGCATCGCCAGCGGAAAAGGGCGGACACCAGCAGTGACAGACCTAGGAGACAAATGAATAGAAATGCTACATGGCCAATGGAAAAGGGCGGACACCAGCAGCGACTTGGGAGACAAATGAGTAGAAATGCTGCATGGCCAACGGAAAAGGGCGGACACCAGCAGTGACAGACCTGGGAGACAAACGAATAGAAATGCCACATTGTAGCTACATGGCCAGCGGAAAAGGGCGGACACCAGCAGTGACACAAAGGGCGGACACATCTTAAGAAAGAATTGAGAACCCCTAACAGTAAACTGTTTGGGAATAAAAAGTACGCACAGGTACGCGTACCTCCTGGATTGGAGACTGAAGATTGAAGATTTCACCAAGAGTCTTGACAGTATCTTCAATCTTCAATCCAGGAGGTACGCGTACCTGTGCATACCTCTCTCTTGCCCCAATCCTCTAAGGTACGAGTACTGGAGGTGCCTTGCTCTCCTTCGTTACATCATCGATTCTTATATAGATATATACATATATATATATATATGGTACCCTCCCATGTGGAAAGTGCCTCAAAAAAACACTCTTTTCACAAGTCCCAAAATGTCAATAAAACTCCACAATACCAATAACAACCAAAAAAGGTAGACATTTGAGGGGGGTGGTAGCATATATATATATGTGTATATATATAGTTCCTTTTCTGTGAAGCTTGAATTCGCAATAGCAAAAGTCAGAGGCCGTCAATAGATGCAAGCTTGGAGATCCAAATGCTTTATTCAGCAAAACATGCAAAACCTGATCGCACCTTGCCAGGCGGCAGCGTCTCCTCCCGAGGCGTGATGGTTCCAGTGGAGTCGTCATCCTGAAGCCGGAGCATCATTCAGCGACGCGTGTATCGGCGGGAAATGTCAAATTCCTTCAATTTTCACAGCTTGCTGAGCAGGCTGTAGCCCTTCTCTGCGTTTCATTCATCCGCTATTCCTCGAACAGCGCAAGCGAGTTCTGTCTGATATGGGCTCGGACTAAATTTAGGATTCTATATTGTTTTTGTTTGGGGTGCTTTTTTGTTTTTCGTGTTTCGTGGCAGGCTCAGTACTTTGTGGACCTTGAAGTGCAGATTTCGTGGCAGGACTTTGTGGATGCTGAAGCGCAGCTTTCGTGGCAGGTGCAGGACTTTGTGGGCGTTGAAGTGCAGATTTCGTGGCAGGCGCAGGACTTTGTGGGCGTTGAAGTGCAGATTTCGTGGCAGGCGCAGGACTTTGTGGGCATTGGAGAGCAGATTTCGTGGCGGGCACAGTACTTTGTGGACCTTGAAGCGCAAATTTCGTGGCAGGTGCTAGATAGCTAGATAGATAGACAGATAGAAAGATCGACCGATAAATTGATCGATAGATACATAGATAGATAAGAAAGAAAGAAAGAAAGAAAGAAAGAAAGCTAGATAGATAGATAGATAGACAGACAGACAGATAGATAGACAGACAGATAGATAGATAGATAGAAAGATAGATAGGTAGATAGATAGATAGATTAATTATTTAGATAGTTAGATAGATAGATAGATAGATAGGAAAGAAAGAAAGAAAGACAGAAAGAAAGAAAGAAAGAAAGACAGCAAAAGAAAGAAAGAGATAGATAGATATATAAATCGATAGACAGACAGATAGATAGAGAGGTAGGTCGAGAGACAAACAGATAGATCGATAGACAGACAGACAGACAGACAGATAGATAGATAGATAGGGACAGATAGATGGATAGGTAGACAGATTTGGGAGCTGTCGTAGCTGGCATAATACAGACTGCTTCTCGCTTTTCTCTTTGCGGTGAACTCTGTCTCAGAACCAACAGCTCAGTCGTTGCATGCATCGCATGGTGAAAAAAGGCCTCCTCTAAGCCAGATGTACTATCCCTCAGGTTCAGGAGAGGAGGTCCATCAAATACTAAGTAGGCATAGCATACAAGAATCCTCTTCCCCATGAAGTATACTGTACTTCAAGCTCACACGAGCAGAAAGGCAACGGATCAGGATCCACTCTGTGAGGGCATAGAAGCGCAGCCACCTTTGCTCAGTCCTGCGGAAGGAGTGCGCGAATCAGAGGGAGGTGCATGGTTGAGGGGCAGGGAGGTGGGACAGCTTGAGCACGTCGTGGCATCATCGTCGAAGGAC